CCCCACATACTAAGCCCTCCCTTAATAAGCTCTAGCGGAAGAGCCTGCTTGTTTTCCTTCTTAATGGCTGCCATAACATCGGATGCTAAAGGCTGCTTGTCCTACGTCTTGGACCAAGCTACAGAACCCCCACTGCTAATGACGCGGATATGGAACTTACCGTCACTCATCGAGGTACGCCAACACAGGTCAAGCAATACGAGAAGCAGAATTGCCTCTCCTGAGAGCGACCTAAATAAACATGATTCATTGGACAGAATTGGCAAGCTGGGATAGGCACAAAGATACACAAGCTCGTGTTTTGGCGCTGCTTGAGAGGACAAAAACGCGTAGGGGGTAAAGTAAATAAGATTTTTTGTCGCGATAACATTTCGGCAGCTATAATTGCTAGCTTTGGAGAGGAAAAGTCAAAATCTTCACGAGAAGTTAGTAGTCTCCCCCGTAAAACCGGAAATTTCCATACGAACCTTGCATTATCCCAACTTCCAGAGCTGAGGCATATGATTCTTCATAACGTACGGGATGTCAAGGCTCGGGAGTATAACGGCTGCAAGAACAACAAAGGGAAAAACAACGTAGTCTCCACCGACAGTCGGTGTACGCTGTTGTGGGTAGGGGCTGGTGTCTGTTCTTCGACAATCGCCTCATCCACCACCAGAAGGATCTACCAATGCTTCTTTGTCTTAAGGAGTCCAGCAGACATCCATTGAATTACACAAGATGGGTTTGGCTGCCGCTGAAGTTTTATAGGTATGATTGCACATAATGCTCGAAAACAGAGTGAGAGGCCGAGGAAGAAGTGAATCGAAAAGTATTCACCGAGTCGACATCTTTATTGTTTTTTTTTATTGTGGCTCTACTTGACAGACCTCAACATGGCATAGACCTTGAACTATTAACTTCGGTGGAATATATACAGACTTTATTATTATAAGAGTAGGGTAATGTTAGGACTGATAAGACACAATAAGGGGAATCTAGTATATGGCAAGGTGATTTCCTAGACGCCGAAGAGCCACATTAGCTAATTCCCGGCTCCGAAAGCAACTCGCATGGCTTGGAATTTGAGGCCTCTAGAGTGGGCTATGCCCATCCTCTGATGTGAAGATTTCAATATAGCAATAGCCCTCGGGAATGTAAGTCTGTTATATGCTTGAACTGCCTTGTGTACTGTCGGGTGCTCCCACAACTTCACCGCTAAATCCCAGCCGTCTTTAAGAGCCAGATTGGCACCGTTCCCGGCAAATGGGCTGACAGCATGATTGCTATCACTAATAAAGATAATTCTTATGAGGCCATTGATGTTGTGGGCAAACAGCTGCTTATCACGAGTAGGTATCACGAATACTGTGGAAGGATCTGTTGCCTAGATTATTTCCGGGAAAGGTCCGTTCAACATGTGACCGATCTGCTTTGCCTCTTCAAGGACCGCCTTCCTATCGTCTTCGCCCAGAGGCTTTTTCCGAGGCTCTGGCTCCTCGCGGCTTATGGCCTAAACGGCACTTATCTTATCTACAGGCGATATAAAGCATCCGACCCCTTGCCCGGAAATAGCTATACCCCAGGTTTCATTAGTTGGCTCAGGCAGGTTCCCTTCCGGGAAATGACTGATTCCTCCGATCTGGATGACACCTTGGAAGTTTAGGTCATCCTCAGGGCGAACTAATGCGCGGATCTTACTATAAGCGCCATCTGCGGCAACTAATAGGTCACATTCTTCCATTCTGGTTCCGCCTTCTGCTTCTGACAGTACGACCTATACTCAACCATCATCGAGCTACTTGGCGGAAGTACAAGTAATGCCCCAATGGATTTCAGTGATCTTCTCCGCTACTTCAATCAAGATATTCCATAGGTCCATGCGCCTTATTCTAATACTAGCAGTGGGTAGCCCGTCGTAAGGCTTACGGGTAACACATAGTAATTTATTCCACTCTGCGTCCCACATACGAAAAGAACTCGTACTGTCTGTTCCTAGCAAGGAGCATTTTAACGCAGCATCAAGAAGGCTGACATCGTGAAGGGCGATTAAGCCGCCGTTGATATCCAGGCCGTTTAGGGATAGAGAGTAGCCCTCGTGCTCTTAGCTAACTTTCTTGGGATTACGGTCATAGATGAAGATGCTAGGGAATTTGCCGGCCGAGTAGAGCGGGGAGGTAATCCATCGGTGGTGAAGAGCAACAACGAATGCTAAGCCACTGATTCCAGAGCCGGCGACAATAATTCTCTTATCCTGCAGGTGATGATAGGGTGGAGAGGCTGCCATTTTTCACGATCCTTGGCGATAGGGTGATCCTTGAATGACCTGACCACTGCATAAAAGGAGCAAAACAAAGGGTCTTTAATCCCTACTAGATGCAAATAAATGACATTGGTAAATTCTAATCAGTCGTAGGGCTGGAATCACTTCCCGAAAGCTTACGTCACTTGGGGGTTAGGTTGAAACTCTATGGCGATAGCTTGCTTCAGGCTTACGACGTCAAAAAATAGCTTCTGGGTACCCTATCCTTTAGCGAGAATGAGTTTTTACTTCTACTTATCCGAGCCGATTAAAGACGCCGTTGGCTCATTATTATATGGACGATGCCGATAAGACCCGAAACAGCTGGAGGAACATTCCCCCTGCGCGGGCGCCGCTTACACGGCATCTGTGACATACTGCCTTATCCTTCAAACGAGAAACTTTCCCAGCTATCGCGAATCCCACAAGGGTAGTTTCCCGTTTGAAAAGAGTTTCCTTCTTATTTCCCTTACTTGTATTTGCGATGTAACACCTTGGCAGACGGTAGGAATGTTGAAAAAGTTCCGAACACTGCCCAGCTGATGCTTACCCAGGTTTGGGGCTTGTCTCAGTTACATTAACAAAGAAACCATCCTGGTTATTCCTCCTGCTGATCGACAGCCAGTGATTCGAATACGCCGCGGCAACAACTTGCATTGTTCGCTTAGAAGAGAATGAAGCGATATTATTATGACTAATACGTTAATACCCACGAGATATATAAACAAGAATGTTCTTCTCCATCGAAAACTCCTTTGTTAGCGAGCGTGTACTACTTCTCGCTCAGCCGCATAATGACTGTCATCGGATTGTGGGGTGTCTTTTGCGCTTTTCCTGTTGTAGATCCAGGATCTCACTTCTTGTTCCGATTATCCGTTGTTTACAGGGTTCCCTAGTTCTAGAACGGCTTCACCCTCCGATCCTGTAACCGAAGGATGAAGATTCCTGGGCGAACTTACATCATTATATACGGTGGCATGGCATGTCAACGGTCGTAGCCTACCATTGGAAAGATGAAGGATTAGACCAAAGCTCAACAAATAGCTCCTTGAACGTCCAATCAGACATTTAGCTAGTAGTTTCGCTTTGTATCGAGTCTCGGCGATTCCCAGAAGCGGCTATCTCCATTTTGAGTGGAAGCTAAAATCTTTGCCTTCCCATGATGCGTGGGGAAACTTGTCCGCATAACAATATATATTAATGCACGCGCATTTGGGTACTTTATTACTATGTATAAGGCGGCTCGGCCACTTCCATTTTGACTCAATGGCACTAGCAGAAATCAATAGTATCCCAAAAGACCTAATTCATGCCTAATTTTGGGTTGCTTGGATCACATTCCACCAAACAAGCCCTTCATGAACTAAGCGAGCTTTCTTCACCTGATACAGAGACGTGAATAATACTTAGAGATGTAAGAACCCAATATAAAACACAGACGAGTCTTTCTATAAATACTAGAGATCAACCTGCTCAGGAGATTCCATTTACTTCTCAACACGATCACACCTGTCTTTGACCCTTTCTCTCATTCACTACCAAATCACTGGATTCTTTCTTGATTACTCCTATAGCAACCACTGCTAAGAGAACCCCTGCATCTCGAAAATCATTCACAATGCTCTTCACTCAAGTTTTGGCCATGACTGTCCTCGGGCTCGCTAGCTCTATCGCTGCCCTTCCAACGGACCCCGCAACCAGCGCCGTCGAAGACAGCGTCAGGTCCAGCGAGGATACGGTCGACCTGTATGCCCGCTGCAACCTGCTTAATTGCCCAAAGGGAAAAATCTGCATTGGTGGCAAATGCATCGGATAATAAGAAACTTCACGCGATAAAAAGACAGATCTGCGATACAGGCCACGACTTACAATGTGGTCGTGGAATAGTCTCCATGCGACTTTCGCGGTACTGCCCGGGGAACGGACAGAGATGTGCATCACAAATCCTTTGACCTAATACCCTACTTCCGGCAAATGTGCTAACGCAATTTTAATATTTCACTTTCGAATATTAGAGCTTGTGTTGTATTGCCATTTAGAGGCTGTCAGTGGACGAGGTCAATGATTTTGAGGCTGAGATGATAACGATGGATATTCTTCTTCGACTTATTCTTCACTTGTTTATATATTCACTAAAAGGAAACAATTATTTATGATGGTTTCTATTTGCTTATTTGTGCGTTATCAATTCGTGATGTCGGCATCTAGCTGTGATCAGTGCCGCGTAACAACCAAGCGCCACCAGAGCTGTAGGAGATAACAATTTGTGTACCAGAGAGGTTCGTAATAATTCAATTTAGATTTCGCTTATTAAACAATACAGCTATTCCTATTTTCCTTCGTAATTCGAAGCTGCTGTCCCCAGCCTGTTTGATCCAGCAAACATCGCCCACGGCAGAAGATGGTGAGTGCTTAAGGCCTTATGTGTTATGTAAAGTCTTTCGCTGGTGTGGCTCCCTTAATAAATCCCAATTCTGCTCTTGAAGATGTTGAGGATTGCAGAAAGTTTCAGAAGACCGCTAAATATGTGAGTCTACAGTTTCTCATTAGTATGTCTATTAATTGGGGACTTGGGTGAGTAGAGAGCTAGTATCTGGCCTTACAAGGTAATTTCTCACGTCAATATTCATTATCTCATGATAAGGCTGATAATTATGTCAGGAGAGATACCGGAATTCGAATAGTCGCATGAGAGAAGCCGCAGACCCCCCAGTACCTATCATACAACTTGAGAATGTTCGCTGTCAAGGGCAGGCCGAACCCAGAAAGCAGGCAAAGTGGCTTCATCGCTCAGTAGGACAAAATCACGGGTTCCCTGATCTATTTTAGACTGCTCAACCGCAAACCAGTGCTTGTCAGTGATCTCAATGTACATCCAGTGAATTTTGGGACCTGACGGCTCGACCAAGACACAGAGCTTCCATTCTCGCAACTTCAGCTCATCTCTGTTGCATGATGATGAATTCCAAATAGATCGAGCACATTCTTCCTTTCCGTTGGCAACGGCGAGGTGAAGTGCGGAAAGCTGCTGGACATTGGGGATGTCTGTGAGATACGATTTCATGGGAGCATTATGGGCCAGCAAGACCTCCAAACAAGCTTGGTGACCAAATATCGCAGCAAAATGAGCAGGTAAAATATTGGTTGCCGTAGGAAGGGCCAGGCTCACTCCATTCGAAATTAATTCTTTCAGACAACCTGCGGTGCCTTGGCGACAAGCTATGTGAATCGGGGCAAGACCATTTTCGCAGGGAAAATTAGGATCTGCACCATGCGAAAGCAACATCGCCGTGATAGATCCTGAATAATCAGAGCATGCTGCATGCCAAAGTGGTGTCCTCCCCCTATCGTCGGTTATGTTACATTGGCCAGTCATCGAGGATTCATCGTTGCGGAGAATGAATTCGAGAGCATTCACGTTACCCATGGCGGCAGCCCTGTGAATTGGTCTCTCCCCAAGTCGGTTTCCACGTCGAATGTCATCCCACACACCAAGCCCATGTTTGGCCCAAAATGCAGGGGATGTTGCGTAGGAAGCAGCAAAGTGTGCCGGTCGGTCAAGATTAATGACAGTTGGCTCCCAGTCCTCAACAGCCGGACCAGGTTCAGTGAAGGTGGAGAGTGAAGCTTCAGAAACAGGAACTGGCGGTGAAAGCGCCTCGATCCTGCGGCAAACATAATGAAATATTTCTGCATCGGGGAGAATAAGGGCGAGATGGAGACTTGTGAGCCGTCTGTCGGACTTGCCACGAACGTCGATGCCCGCGATAACTAGAGTGCGTACAACGTCCAGGTTGCCACCCAAAACTGCCCATTGAATGGGTCGGAGCTGAAGGAATGAGTCCGGTTTACTCTCCAAAGTTTTGGACGCTTCGAAACAGTTGTCTAAGTCATCTTGATTCTCTCCACGAAGAACGCGCACGAGTTTGCGTGTCTCCGTGTCGCTTGCTGGCAGGGCAGACAAGCAATACTTCAACAGAGATTCGTGAGAGACGCCATCGCCATGTTGGGCTTTAATCCGTACTTTCGAACCGAAGCCCAACCGCGAGAAGACACTTGTTTCGATAGTATCAATAACTGAAATTTCTTCCATCATGGCAACGACCCCGCGGGACCAGCTATTCCAAGCCTGATTCCTCTGTACAGATACAGGGTCTAGTAAAAGATCAGGACTGCCGGCACCAGGTACACTCATACGTTCTTCCTGAGGGAGAGTCTCTACTGGTATGATCTGGCCATAGATCTCGCGGGCGCGGCTCTTATTTTCTCCAACCGAAGGACTGCCTGATAAGACATGTACCACGATATCCAGCGTCTTCTTTCGGTTCCGCTCAGTCACGAAAACCCAAGGCTTCACATCGATACCATCAAAGTTATGTGTGGAAAGGTTTTTATACTGGATGTTTCCCGACTGAGCTTCATGTGTCGCCCATGAAAACATGCCCTCGGGCAGGAATGTTGGGTTGACCGTCATGATCTGACACCAACTACGGCACAGACGCTCGTTTTGGGCGTGCATTCCGATAGCGACATCTATTGTCAGAGTGTATCCATTCTGTGGAACTTCGATGCGAATTATTCCGCATGGTAATCCAAACGTCAGATGCTGAGTTTGCAGGGTCTGAGTCGCCTCTGTCCAGCCGTGCTTAGGCCAAGCATCCTTGATCTTCCACTCGGCAGTCTGACCGATACCAGTCGGGAGCTGTGGTTCAGAGCGGTCCTTTACGGCCATGATCCGTACTGTGCGAATATCTGCAGCGGGATTCTGTTTCACGAACACGCGCTCGTAGAAGCCGCCGTCAAGAAGGCTGATGTTGGCGGGCACAAATGACTTGAAATCGGATCCCACACGGGCAAACTGGTTACCCATGCCCCATATCCTCTTGAGATAGATAACAGGAGACTGTCGCTTCCCCTTCCGGAATCTCTCGCAATTCAAAATAACTCGAAAGTCGGCGTCGACCATTTGGATTTTGGGGCAAGGTAAGAGAAGAAAGTCGACTCCCAGGCCCCGGCTTGTAACTGTTGGTGGCTCCCCTGAGAGGGTCAAGGGCATCGTAGTTTCTATATCGCTTTTATCCCAGAATCTGCTGGGTGAGTCGGCCAACAGGCCATTCATTTGACTCAACTGGCTCTTGCCGCCGGTGGCATCGGTGCTCTCTGAATCCGAATGCCAGGCAAATATTGACTGGTCATCTTCCTTTGCTAGAATCGCCTCCTGCAACCTGGTGAAGGACCTCTTGCCCTCGCCGTAAAGTAGGGGCATATTGACATCGAATATTCCTAGAAGACAATAAGCGATGTCTTCGATACGCGAGGTCTGTCGATCTGCTGCCCAATGCATTCGTGCAGCAACGCTCACGTCTTGAGGACTCATCTCCCCTGTCAGTACCTCAAGTTGGATACCTGTGATATCTACTAGCAGCTTGGTAAAATCCATATCCCCCGTTTTTGCTCCAAGATACGTCCAGTCACTGGCTAGAAACTCGACATTTGGAGAGGCAATAAGCTCCTGGAGCGTCCATCCTCGAGTAAACCAGCGGCTCTGGCGAAACTTCGAGGCCTGCTGGAAAATGTCCTCGGTTCCGGCAGGTGGAACATCAGCTAAATACGCGTAGCAGGCACTCGCCTCGGCGTACCAGCGGTACATGGAATTAATTGCCTCGGATAGCTCAGCACTGCTCGACTTGTCGATGCAGCACGTATCGACCCAAATATGATCATACCCCCTTTGACGAGCAATCATAGTGCTCTTGACAAGCTTGTCAAATGCTCTCCTCTTATTTTCTCGCATACCCTTCGGCAATTTGCGGGTAAGGTCTTTCCATGCTGCATCACGTAGACGAGGGTCCTCCAATTCCTGAATCAGGATCTCGCCATCAGACCATGTGTGGGATAAAATTGCGTATCGCGGTATATCGCTCCCGTACACCTCGATGACCTCGACTATCTCTGTATTTAGGAGCCTCATTCTGTCCTATATGATGGACGGATGGGTTTAGTTCAACAACATACGCGTGCATGAGATCATGGTTGATGAAAAAGCAAACACGATGAGGGGTAGCTGATCATCATCATCAACACATGCATGTACATATGTGGCACAGCCGTGAAAGGATGGATGCAACGCTGTTTCAACAGGCACTAGAAATTTAATGTCTCTTGTTTGGGCGACGTCAAAATTGTCAAGAATTCAGTGAATACGGGAACTCCTTTTTCTTTTTTTCTTTTTTTTTTTTTTTCTTTTTCTTTTTTAGCCTTCATTTCTTCTGTTTTTGCGTTCATGTGTATCCGGATTTGTTAATAAGATCGCCAAGAACCGGCAGCCACCCAAATCTCACCATATCCGTCCCGAGGTAGTGATATTTAATGAGAAATACCTGGCGATTCTTGCTGTGGGATGGGACATTCACTGGGCGGCAAAAATCCAAACAATTACCACTGATTAAGGGGTTAGATATAGTCGCATTTCTTGGTTTTCGGTGCGGCTGCAGGGATGGAACCCCTACACAAGCCTATTATACCCTCATGTATACGAGACGCAATGCAAATTGTGCAATGAAGGGGGGCCAATGGTCTCAATTTCATCATCGTTCACAGTGAGGGTCATTCAGTGCCAAGGTCTGTCTTCATGTTGTCTCACTGGATACATGGTAAGACAGCCCCTCATTAGCCCAAGAATTATTCAAGCCGAGCAATACTGCTAAGCTTCCCAAATATATCAATCTTTTAATCATGAGTACCAGCATCAATCTGTGACATGTAAGGTGTCTGACTTCATAATTGGGTGTGTGTAGCAACGATCGGCTCCGACTGAGGTGGCCATAGCTCATCAGCCATGTCACACAGATCGGTTCCGACCGCCGATCCCTCCATCTGGCACTAAGCTTCCAGCTAACCGCCCTTTTCAGTTGAATCGGCAGGCAGACTTAGTGGGTCAGGATGTGTTCCGATCCAATCACTCCAAATATCGTGAATCATATTGGCTTATGTGCTATTTTGTGGCTGCATTACATATTGCCTGGACGAACGGATGTTGCTGCGTCGTTTGAACCTTTACGGAACTAGCGGAGATTGAGATGCTAGTTTGAAGGGGCAATGTCACATTTTCCCTGCACGAGCGTGATTGGGTATGGATGGGCAGTCTGGGGAAGTCTGGGGAAGTTCTGGGGAACTATAAGAGTTTTCCTCTTCCATCTACGTACTTCAGATCCATCCCCAAGTCTCAACATACACTGCTACTGACTCTCAAAGATCTCCCTATCAATCGATTTCATCTTAGTTATTCAAAATGTCTGAGAGGACCGGAAAGACTGATCAAGAGGCAACTGCCGAGGCCATCGATCGGGTCCACACAGCCGCTGCTCTTTCTATTTCTCCGGAACTCTTTGAGCAACTGTATCTTGCACCAAAAACAGCTGTTCGTGGGGAGTTGCGGCAAACATTTGGCAACCCTACCCCCATTGGTGAGTCCTCCGCCCCCATCAACCGACGGGAGCACCAAACTGATATGCGAGATGGTGGTAGCTCTCGGTGGATTTCTTCTTTGTACCACGCCGCTATCGATGATCCTACTGGAATGGCAGGGCGCCGGGGGTATAGCAGGAGCTGCGAACGTGTAAGACTTCCTGGGGAGCAATGACTCTACTAATAAATGACTAAACTGGGCTCTCTGCAGGGGTTCCTACTTCTTTCTAGGAGGCTTGCTACTTGTTCTTGGAGGCATTGGTGAATGGATCATTGGTAGGTCATTTTCCCCTTTTCTTTGATGGAAGGTCTAACGCTTGTCCTTTCCTGTAGGAAACACATTCCCTTCGACCGTTTTTTGCACTTTTGGGGGCTTCTGGCTCACCATGGGAGCGACGATCTGCCCCGGATATGGCGCCTATGCCATCTACTCGCCGTCTGGGAGTCCTTCCGAAGGATTGACCGAACCCCAGTTCTTCGCGACCTTCTCGTTCTTCCTCATCGGCATGACGATTCTCTGCGCCGTATATACAGTCGCCTCTATCCGAACCAATATCGTTCTTTTTAGCATTCTTTTGCTTCTGGTCCCTTGCTGTAAGTTGGCCAAGTGGAATATGAGATAATGCCGAGGTCAAACACGACGTGCTGACAATCTTGTCTATCATAGTTGCCTGCCTGTCCGCCTCCTTCTTTGCTGTGTCGCATGGTCAAACCGGGCCCGCTATAGTCTTCCAGCACGCCGGTGCAGCGCTTTTGCTGGTGGTTTCGCTGTTGGGATGGTACATATTCTTTGCTCTTATTCTGCTATCGGTCGAATTCCCATTCAACCTTCCATTGGGGGACTTGTCAACTCTGGTGTCGGGAATGAAGAAAAGGACTACGGAAAAAGAGCACGTGTAGATTATACACGAGTTCAGGCGGCTCATGACAGCGAACCTGAGGATACCATGATCGGAGGTGCAACCAAACAGGATGTAGAGAAAATGAGGATACAGGAATAAGGGTCTAGGAATACAATTGCGCTCTTCGTGGGATAATTTGTAGATAGCGTAATAACTTGCGTCTGCATTCTCTGGATGTAACAGAAAGTGAACGCCATGCCGGCTACTTAATGCCCTACTATAACCAGGCCATCGAGCAAGCCAAATATTTTGAATACCTCATGTTATTAGTTTGCGATGTGCTTAAAGTGTCTGGACGACCAACAGTCCCCCAGCTTAGTTGTGAAGGACATGCTGCTGAAATCCTCTTTCACTGATTGGTCTCCTGCTACCCACAGTAGGAAGGATCTTCTGTAGGCGGATCTCGTGATGATGAATGGTGTTCCCCCGTGGGGAGAAAAGACCCACAAAGACATCCAGACTGTCTCCGCACGGGGAATAGTGTGTAGAGCTTTAGCCCCCCCTTTGGCCCTTTTATTGGTCTAAGGAGAGGGGTTCGGCGGGTAGGAATTTCCATAACAGTTTCCAATGCGCCCTCGATCACTTGCTCTTCCGACAGGACCGCTGAGATCGTATCTGTCGTGGCTTCTTTTCCCTCAGCATCTACGTCTCCTCTCCACTCCACGACTTGTCATCTCCCTCCTCTCACACGTCCCATATCCGCCATCCACAATGGAAAAAAGACGCCAGAACCAATCCTGCGACCAATGCCGTCGCTCCAAGAAGGCCTGCGATGGCTATCTCCTCAATAGAAGCCAGCCCTCTCCCGACCCCGGCGCTACAGCCCACGGTGAGTGATCTTCAACTGCCGCACACATCTCCAGCGGAGCGCTGATTGTCAAGATCAAGGGTCCGCAGGATTGCTTCCCTGCTCCTACTGCGCCAAGACCAAAAAGCAGTGCAGCTTTAATTCACAATGGGCCAAAGATTCAACGTCGCCTGTTGATGACCATCCTTCGACCTCGAGCAGCCAAAACCCCACATCTCACAATCCCCACACCAAACGAACGAGATCTGGGTCTCATTCTGAATCTGTGGAAGAAGATCTAAACCCCGCTAGCATCTTGCAGTTTTTGCAGACGCCCACTTCAAACAACAACTACGATTGGGCGTCACCGTATCCCGAAACTGACGTGCCGTCTGTCTCCTCCCTTGAGGGCCAGCTGGCTACTATTTTCAATCAAGAATGCGTGACAGCAGGATATAACGATTCATTTCTCGGGCTTGCTTCTATGGATTCTCCCACTCTCTCTCAGCCGCTAGATAATGTCACTCTAGATCAATTTGGTCCATCTACATTTCAAGACGACATGTTCAGCCAATCCCATGCAGAAATCCAAGGCTCAGTCTGGGACTCCACCGAGTCACCCCAACATCGTGTTCAAGAATCCGCCAGAACCGCAGTCTCATCACCACGCTCCAGCCACAGCAGTCGAAGCCGGCGCAGGCTCAACTCCCACCTTAAAGATTCCGCCAAATCGTCCATCTCCCCCTTTACCATAGACAGCGAAATTGTGGCCAAATCAAATAACAACCTCATCACGGAGAGCCTCCTCCGGATCTATCACGACGTCCTTGAAAACAACCTGGCTTGCTGGATCGCTGAGGAGACCTGCCCATTTACGACACACCAGCGGCATCGGGAGCCATTCTCCTTGACAGAGCTGCAACGATTCCCTTCTCCGACCGCCGGATCCACCATCATGTCGGAATGGGGAGCAGTGTGGTCAAATCGAATGTACAGACGGGTAAAGCAGCTTGACCGTGTTGCCAGAGCCTCCAAGATTGTCCATGTCACGCCCTCGGAGAGTCGGGCCGTATCGAGGGCCTTGGACCTTGCGATAGCTGCGTTTGCAACGCAATGGACGCAAAATGATCGTCGGCGGAGACAGAGCACCCAACGAAGGCAAGAAGAGTCGGATGACGATGTGCATAGTGACGACGACGATTTTGAAAACAGCTTCGAGCGAAATCTCCAATACTCAATTTGGGAACAGGCGAGATCCGCTCTGAATGACGTTGCTGAGGTGGAATGCTTCAGGGTCGTGTACGCGGAATTGGTCTTTGGCATGATCCAGAAACCATGGGATGATGTCGAGACATCGCCGAGCACGTTTAAAAGCAAGTTTGATGAGCTGAAGTCTACTCTGAACACTATTCTCGCTGGAGATGGCCCTCCGGTGTTCCTGGAACGGGCTGCTCGGAAAATACACGCGCTCAAGTTTCGTTTCGAGGCAGCGCAATTGGGATCCCGAACACCGGAGCCGCAGCGCCCTGATAAGCAGCGCGCCGCCGCATTGAATCAGATCACCTCAGAGCACCGGGGGACAGTGGGTTTGTTATTCTGGCTGGCGACCATGCTCGACACCGTGTCATCATCGGTGAATCACAGGCCTTGTGTCATATCGGATGAAGACAGCCAGCACGAAGCAGATCACGAGGCAGCCATGAAGCAAAGTCGAACTGTAATATTACGGAACAGTAGACGTTGGAAGCTGGGTCTCTTCGCACAGGATGACATTGAGAAGCCCTCCACACTCCACTGGCCTTGTGCGTACGACGT